TAAGTATGACCAGGCAGAGGCTGTGCGACACCTCTATCGCTGCTTCCTGAGCGATAGGGCCTCCTGGTCTCTACAGCAAGGCTCAGGAGTTTCATTTCCTTCCCTGTGATCTAAACAAACCCATTACTCCCAGCCATTTATGCTCTGGGGCAGTATGCAAGCCCCAGACCTGAGGACACAGCCTACAGCTAAGCCACCATGGCACAGAGCCACCTTCAATGACCATTTAGAGGAGGGAAAGGAGAAACGAAGAGCTCGGGCCTCTACACTTTATCTAAACCACTCCAGAGAGGCGAACGGAATCGGCTCTTGTGGGCTCTGTTTATCCTCTGCTCCTGTAGTCAATCAATTAGGGGATCAAAGAAGGAGATGAGGGAAGTGTCACAAAGCTCTCCCACACACCAATGCCTGAGCTGCCACCTCGTCCAGTCCCAGTGACAGCAGACTGGAGGGAGACTAAACTTCCAGGCCAGCACCTCCGGAGGCTGGAGCAAAGGGGACAACCGTAGCACATGCCAAGGTCTAATCTGGACAACCAGAACACAAACTTTCAGAGGAATATATGAGGAATGACACATAGCAGACAGGGAGCCTCCTCACAATGCATATTCATTGTGTTGAGAATATTCACTGAGATCTTACTCCTTGCAAAGAAAACCTACGTTGGAATGTAAAGACTGCAATGCCAAAAATTCACCTGTTGTAATTTTGTAGACATTGAAGACTTTTTCTTATCTGCATTCAGATTCTACGAGTTCCGATGACAAACAGTTGTGTTAAGACTTTACCTTGTAGCTTGTTTGATTCTGTAAAGAAACCATAAAAATTCTGTAAGGGGTTTGAGATATTTTATCATTAAGATATTAATGACATTTACCCCACGACAGGGAGAGCTGAAGAAAATTCTGTTCATGATGACAGACTTCTTTTTAGCATTTCCCGAAACATTTAGATCCTAAACGTGTTTTGTGACACGTGTCGGCTTGGTTTGGTTTGATTTCAATTCACATAAACAGTGCTGATGATTGTTTTGTCGCATGTAGATTCTAAACATATCCCTCACATTGCGACATGGCACCGTTTGTTGTCCGTGCCCATTTACCCAAGATCATGTATCAGCATTTTATAGCTGCTTTGACTGTAGATCCACCAAGCACGTTTGAAATGTGCTTAATGCTCTCGGTCAGGACTGACAGAACATACCTAAGACATGTTTTGACACATCTCCAGCAGCGCTGCTGGTAAAAAAAAAGTGAATGAGCTCCACTGTTCTGACGTGTAATATAAAACACAACGGATGCCGCCATACGGCACCGGTTAGTTCCCCTACATTCACACCATGCCGCAGAGATTTGCAGGCTACATTCCCCGACCGGTGGCGGGAGAGTCCAGCACTGTTGGTCAGCGGGCAGAATGAATTACTTCCTACAGCTGCAGCTCGACACACTCTCTGTCTGTGTCTCAGTCCTGGACGTCTAAGCTCTCATCACTCGCTAATCACATCACCAGTGCTGGAACAGTCAGTGGCCCAGTGACCCCACAAATGCAGTTGAACACACAGGGAGGAAAGACACTCGCGCACACACTCACTTAAAAGGCTACTGTGGACGTAGTGTGGACGGATACAGTATGTTGCTAAATTGCAGCCAAATACAGAGCAGGACTGCCATTAATCTTCTGATAATATCATCGTGAGTTTTCCTTTTTTTTTTTACTGAATCTCAGCAGTCACATATAAGATGAGCTGAAATATTTTAGATCTTTTTAATTAAATTGCAGACACTGACAGATGAGAAAACATTTTTCAATGCCTTTTTTGAAGTGCTTGAGCTTCGAACTTGTTATTGCTCTTCAAAATTAGAGCAAAAAGTAATGTTCAGGTGTAACTGTGTTTTTTCATGTTCTTAAACATATTTTTAGAAATATCAAAACTATTTTATTTCTGACCAATGGGAAATGACAACATATTTGTAAAATGGGAAGTTTTTAGACAATGCTGGAGTGAATGGTACTCTAACATTATAGTGGTGCGGCCCCACCATCCATCCCTCCTGCACTCATCCTGAGCCCATTGTAGTGAAATATACCATTTGCGACAGATTTACGTGTTCAGGCTTTGACACTTATAGCTGTTTACCCATTTTTGAGCCCAACTGACTTTTTTTGACAATGTGAAATGATGACTTGGGGCAAAAAGAGGCAAACAACAATTCTGTAGACCATAAAACAGCAATCTTACTGCCTTTATAACAACACAGTAGCAATTTGTGCTGTTATCGAAAGTAGGACCTATATACCTATATATTTTGTAAATAGGCTGATTTGGATATTTTGTTTAAGAGACGTTGAGAAAGTAAAATCACACAAAGGAAAAAAAGACAACCGTCAGAATTTGTTTTGGATCTTTAATTGATAACAGTTACGCCAGTGTTACAGTAAACACACCAACAGGCTGAAGGTAGTAAATACCAATACAAGTTTCCCACTACTCTAATACTTCATACAGCAGAATAAATTATACCATGATAATATACACACATGCGGAACAGAAAAAGGAGTAAAGCAAAGCACAGATGTCAGAAAGCAACTAAACAGGTTGAGGGTCAAACAGACGGGAGGAGGGGTAAGAAGCTGTATGCTTTAAATATCCAAATGTTTTTTTGACGCAAGTGTTAGAAATGGTTTGATACACTAAAGACAATTCTAAAATTCTTCCTTTTTAAAATATACACGAGTGAGGCGTCTAAGTAGAGCAGCTGCGGCTGCTGCGATTCAGTGCGGAGTCAGAGTCACTTTGTCCTCCTCAGGTCTCACTGTTCCACAAATCAAATGCGACTTCTCAGTATTTCCGGACCAGAGAAGCTGATGCCACTTGCACCATCGTCTCAGTCCTATTCGTCACCAGGGCCACACCTGAAGGGCCGTCATGTCCGTCAGCCAGTCGTTGCTGGTCGGCGCTAATAATCAGTCTATGAAACCAGGTGGCTGAAATATTGTCTGACAGGTGGCGACGCCTCGTCCAGCCACCTTTCATATTTGTCGTGTGGTCCATCTGAGAGGCCGAGCTCTCACCTTCCCTGGAGCTCAGTTTGATCCACTTTAACACAGCTTTAATTGGAACGATTTCAATGGAATTTATAGTTCACTAAATTTTTTTACAAATCCATTCTCACGTGGGCCAAAAAACCGAAACAAAACTTTTGGCTGGCTGAAACAAGGGAACCAATTAAATACATTCAAACCAAAAACAAACGGAAAAACAGGCCAGTTAGAGAAACTCAACAGAAACATTTACTTGCACTTATTCCATGTATAACTCCCTCTCAGTGTAGTTTTGTTTTAGTATAAAACATACTCTTTAAGAAACAATACACAATCTTCTCCAGCTACTGTACAATGTTTTTTCTTTTCAGTTTTAAAGTCAACACAGGATCAAATCTCGTCTTGAGTGTTAACAACTCTGTGTACATTATAACATTGATGTCAATTAAAAAGAAGACAGGTAAAAATATCAAAAACTCACATTCACTTCGAGGGATCAGCTGGTCCTGGATCGTTATGAAGGTCAACTATGAGTGTTACACAAAAATCTCAAGACCACTACTACTTTTAATTTTTTCTTTTCTTGTACAATTTAGGGAGTAAGTCAAAGCACAGGAATAGATGGTCCAAACCAGGGTGGGGGGCCGAGCCGTGGTGTTACCTGTGCCCTTTCACAACTGACTGGATTATGTGATTTTCCAGAGTACATGTGAATGGCACAGCTTGTCTACTTTTTAATCTCCCAGCAAAAAACGCTGGAATGCTTCTAGTGTATTTGTAGACGGAGCCTGAGGAATGTTTTGAAGGAATGTTTGTTTAGTCAGAAAGAGGAAACCAACCAAAGGTGCATTTACAAAATGTGCTAAGGATGCTAAAACAACTGGGATACTGGCTTGTGCTGGGAAGGGTCACTGTGAATTAGCTCTGACATTATATTTGTCTGATTTAATCTGCTTTACACTGTTTAAGTGAAACCGGATTCCCTGGCAGATGGGATTTGTGAGGGGTGGGGAGGGGAGTTGGGGTTGAGTTAGCCCTCCTTGGCAAGGTCCATATTTCAAAATACATTAATTTCCCCAATCCTGTTTTTGCAAACAATGCCCCCCTCCCTCTGGGCCACGGCTAAGGATGTGATGGAGGTTACAAGGGGAAAGCTATTGGCCGCCAAAATGCTGCTTAAATTCCCTACAGAATCCATCCAGCCAGACTTCCCACAGAGTGGCCAAGTTCTTTAGGAATGTCAAGAGGAATATGAAAGTGGGAAGGTCAAATCGCTCATGAACATTCGAGCTTGGGGAACTGCAGCTTGGAAAACAATCATCCTCTCTTGTGTGAATGTGCCGACACGCAAGCATGCACACGCAACAGACACTCACTCCCAAATTGTCTCAGCCATCCGCTGTGTTTTTACACACCGACATCTAACAGAGAAAAGAGATACGAATGGAATCAAAGAACAAAATCACATTAACCATAATCATATAACAGCAACAATAATCTTAACAATATCAAAAAGGAACAAGAATAAAAGTCGTTCGAATGATATTGGCTTTGTTAACTACTATGAACAGCAAGGTCAAAGTACATGTTGTTGATGGCTCTAAATGTGTGCTGGACTGGAGCCACGACATCGAGGAGTCCAGGCCAATGCAGGCCCACCGTCCTTGGAGTCCTGTCTGGCCCTCTGAGCAAAAATAAACAAGCTTTGGGGGTTGGACTGAAGTACAAGTTGCTGGCAAATGTGCCCTTTAGAATTAAGACGAAATAATGCAGAGCCGCCTGGTGGCCTAAATCGGTTTGAAAAGTTTAGCTTCATTCCCCAGAGCGACGTGTAACACCCACAAGTGTCACTTTCTCTGATGTCATGGCTAAGCTGCAGAGTCCAGACGTGATGGAGCATGGAGGAAGGTGGCAGAGGGTGAAGCAGAGCGAGGGCAGTGGTTGGCTCTCCTGCGGCTTTAGTAGGCCTGTCCCGTCTCCACCTGCAGGAGCCCCAGCACCGCTGAGTGGTCCCCGAGTTTCATCCTCCTCTGGGTGGACAGGCTCACGTTCTTAGCCAGGTAGTCTACAGCAGCTGCACAGACACAACGGGACAGAAAACAGAGCATGCACGTGAGACACGTGATCGCAGAGACATATGCGCCTGTCACTTGGTGTCTTTCCTCCGGTTAATGCTGAAATAAGTTGTGACAGAAAAGAATGAATCAAATAACAAAAACAATGCACACACGAAGAGTGAAGATTAAAAGCCCCTCCTGTGTCCCCTTGTCTGCGGTTGGCATGCGGCTGGCACGGAGCATGTGCATCCTGGTGAAGTCTCCTTGCTGTCACTCACACTGGTCCCCGTGTGTGTTCTGTGTGCCAGTCTTCATTACTCCTGGCATCTCTGATTTCATGCCCTCCACACTCCACATGGCCGATCATTTTCATCCTCAGACAGCAGCTCTCTCCTCTCTCCTCCATTCATTACCCATCCACTGTGCTCAATCACCATCTTAATTAACCTCACATCAGCTCACATCCGCACAGCCATCAGTTTCTCGCGGCTGACAAAACGCTGGGGCGCGCACGCCAAACGTGACAGACTGGCACGCTGACTTGCATTCATGTGCAACAAAAACACATCTGAGAAAAAGGAAAAATCACCAGATTCCCGACAAGCCAAGCCACTTCCAGAGCCCACTCATAAATACAAACAAATGTCAGCTAGCTGGTGCTGGCTGGCTTGTTAAGGGAAGTGTTCTTCATTTTACCTCATATGGATGTCTGGGACAGCATCAGTCAATTATGCTAATCTAATAAAGGAAACTCTTTCCTGCCCTCAGGGTGCGTGTGATGGAAACAAGAGAAAGGGAGGTGGGCAAGAGGACACTGTGGCCCCTAAGGGTGTGCCGCTCTTTGAAGTGGCCCTCTTCTCTTTCCCATCCAAGCGGAGTGGGGTGTGACTAAGGCAGCTCTGTACCAGGATGGAGGTGGTGTGGTGGTGGGTACTGGGGGTAGTGGGGTCTTTATCAAGAGCACGTGTCTACCTCCACCATCCAAGGGACAAAGGTCAGAAGGCTCTTTTGCCTAGCAGTTGGGCATCACTTCAGACTTTTTGAAGTCAATTTGAGTGGAGGATAGAAGGGGTTAGATGAGCATCTCTCGTCACATGAGCAGAATAAATTAGAAGGGTTTTACTCACTCTGGCCATACTGGCTGTACTGGTAGCCTGCAGTGACAGGGTCCACGCTGTAGCTGGTGGCGCTGTAGGTGGGGGGGCAGTAGGACTGGGAGGAGGCCAGGCTGTCCACACTCTTGATGGTGTCTGAGCGCTGGCTGCAGCTGGCTGAGATGGGGTTGGAGCTCTCCAGGCTGCTGTGCAGAGGGGAAATGGAAAAGTCGTGCTGGGGCTGAGAGGGTACGGCGCTGGGGTTACTCAGGATGCTCATCACCTGAAGGGAGAAGGAGAGAGAATGATGTTAGGAACTTGGAAAAAGACAGGATCAAAGCATTGACAAAGTTGAGGGAAAGCACTTTTTCCACTGAAATATAGTGCCACCCTTGCTCTTCACGGTGTAGATGCCACTAGAAATAAACCAATTCTACTTTGAAATACTGAGAAGGAGAAACTTCCCCCTTCTTTTTTTTAAGGAAGAGGGTATAAGGAGGGCGATGAGGTTAAAAAAGGAGAAAGAGAACAAGAGACACTGTTTCCATTAGCTGATACTGCCAGTAAGTGTTCTGCTGTGGGACAGAAGGGTCCCAGGGTGATAATAGACCCACCATCCTTGCCAGACAGCCCCTGTCCCGAAGCCTGAGGCCTGAGCCCGAGCCTACGGCACAACAAGCACCAAGGGAGTCCCTAATCCCTCGCCCCTAGCCTACCCATCTCATGAATAGTAATGGAGTTGGAACTGGTAAATGATCCCCTCAGATCCACACACAAAATAGGCTGTGCAAACCAAAGCGAGGGGGGCTCTGATTCGGACTCGCTTGAACATTACAGTGTGTACATTATACACAATGCGTAAAAGTATCCAATTCCATATAACAGATTAATGTAAAAACAAGTGACAGAAAACAGCTTCAGAATATGTTGAAATAGGATAGATTATTTCTAGTGGTCCAACAATCTGAAGAGCAGAGTGCTGAGAAGATTTTTTTCCCATGCTGTGAGTTTCTTTAAGTGAAAAAAGAAAATGTCCGGGTGTGTGTGTGTATGCAGAAGGGTGGGGTAGAAATATAACCGTCCTAGACTGCTTCCCACCTATAGCATGGAAGCCTTCCTTTCAACATCAGGTTCATGTTGAGTTTCGCTATGCTGCACTGGCCTTTGGCCCCTTAGCTGCTAAACCAATTAGCCCATCATGGAGGTGGTTAAACAGGGGGTGATACACTCACAGACATATGTTTGCAAGCATGAGCTCACAAATGGAGACACATGCGTACACATGCATGTTCACATGCCGCAATGCAGGGACAAGCCAAACAGTCTGCAAATGATGCGCCAGGCCTGGTGGATCCAACAGAGGGGAAATTTACCACATTCTGAAAATTAATCATATTTTTAGAAAGGGCCTCCCTGGAAATGTGAAGCACTTGAAGCACATCAGAAACATAAAGGCTGGGTAGTCATTTCCACATGTTAATTCTATCAGTAAGGAAACCCCCACATCCCCTCCACATCTGTGAACAGAGCATGTGACATTTATCCATAAGAGAGAGATTCATGGCCTTGTCTATGCTGGACACATGCTATGTTCCCTCACATATGGAGCTGAGCTGAACATACCGAGAAAGAAAAGGAGTGAATGTCCTGATGGTTTGCTTAAAATAAATGGAGATTAAGTAAAATGTCCTGAGAAAGACAGCTGGAGGGCACAAGTCCATTTTAGTCATTGGTTAATTGAAGCTTGATTACATCGTTTCTTATTAAATAGAATAGCCAGCAATTGGCTCAGTTATTATTCATGCTAATAAAAGTTCTTCAAAATGAGATGACTTCTTATCGGTGACATGTGGCAGTTTTGCTATTTTAGCACATTTGGATGGGTTGGCCACATCAGAGTGTGACATGTGAAAGGATATCCTTCATATGTCCTCAAAAAAAAAAAAGAAAAGAAGATTGTGGTGTGTTAAGTTTTCATTGTGGGGAAAAGTATGTTTTACTTTAGAGGTCAGATTCTAATTTGTATTGTGTTCACACCGCTAAATAAAAATCAATACAGTTTCAGCACTGTATGCTGAGTCTGATGATTTGAGGATAGATGGCGTGAACTTATCTGTCATGAGCCAGGCTGGAGTCATAAGTAAACCCTTTTGCCCACATCTACAGTGTTTTAAGAAATCAATGGGTCACTGCTGAATATGTTCAGCGCCAACTTTACGGGAATTAAAATTTGGAACAAAGTGCGTCATTCCTGCATTTGCCCTTGCTTAAAAATCGCGGTCATGAAACAGTTGAACGTGGCAATGCTGAATTGATAGTATTGATCACACAGTTTGGAGCTCAGATTTGGTCCACAAATGACCTGAAAATTAAATTTTGTGGAGTTTGGATTCTGGAAAACTTTAGAGCACAAGAAAATATTTTCTTATGTGTCTATACGATATGTTCTTGTAGAACAGAGTCTCTCTCGAATACTCTTCCTCCACCCCCCCCCCCCCCCCGCCCCCCCCCCCCCCTCCACCTCCTCATCCCTCCTTGCATACAGAGTCCTCAGCAGCTCAGAGTTCGTTTGTTGTTCGACGTTGTATGAGTGCTGGTTTGGGAGATAATGTGAGCCAGGACCTAGTTTAAAGGACAATGCTCCAGGGCGTTCCCTGCCTCTCTCTCAACTCCCCCCACCGCCCACCCCGTCCCATTCCCTCCCCCTCACCCTCTCCTCCTTTTCTGCTCTCACTCTATACAGATAGATTACTTTATAAATAATAATAAAAAAGTAATTAATTCTCTCAACTTCTGAGCCCTCCAGCCTGTGGCAAAGTGAGTGGGGAAGTGTAAATTGATACAATGTGCATCCTTTCAGATAAATAAATAGCACACTTGAGACAAAAAGAGGCCCTTTCATACCTCCCTAATTTCTTCAACAGTTAAATTACAATTTTTTTTTGTTTGCGTGAATGTTTGACGACTTCTCCTTTGTTGAATTTCTCTTTAGAATAAAACAACGTGACACAGACAGAGCTGAGAGGTATTCAAGAGAAATTAAAACAGAAAAAAATGGCAGTAAAAAAATAGAAAATGCATTAATGATGCTTGCCACGATATTTAAAATATTGTTCAAGAGGATGCCATAAAATAAGCAGAAGAGAAACTTATATTTTAGTGTCTTTACACTAAATATAATTCAAATGATATTACTGTCAGATGACCAAATAATATTAAGTGTGCTGTCGCACAGTGGATTAAAACAACACAAATTCCAAGGAGCAAAGAGACGAAATTGAGCACTGAGGATGTGATGGCCGTTAAACTATAGAATGAAGGCGAAGGGAGCAGAGGAGAGAGAGATACGGAGTGAGAGAGGAAAGTGGAGGCTTTGGGAAGTACAAAGACTCCTGTAGGACTGCGTTGGCCTGAGGGCCAGCCTGCCTGGAGAGCTGATAGGAACCCCTTCTGTTCCATTCCCAGCGCCAGCGCCAACACACCCCACTCCACAAATACTCTTAATCTGCGCAATACTGGATTAGTTCCTCTGTCACCGATACCTCCTCGCTTTGCCCAAATCAAAATGCCCTCAAGATGTACCTTTAAGTTAGGCAGAGGTCACCGGGGCAGAGAGGGAAAAATGAGCACTCCAAATGTCTGTAAGTTATCTGAGTGGTGCAGAATGGCATACTGCACCTTAGCAGATCTGCCTGGATGATACTCGCTCCAGCAGGGAAAGATTAAAGATCCACAGTGATGGCACTGAAATTCAGATCAATATTTGAAGGCCAGTCCTAAGGCGGTGATTACAGGGGGAGATTCTTGTTTAATTCTGTGACCCACAAGTGACACAGACTCAGTGTCGAGAAAGTGTCTGACTTTGGCAACGGACTAAATATTAGGAGTTACTACTTGTTAAAAATGTCAACCACAGAGGGCTTCACGTCCTTTAGAAATACATGTATAACTTTTTATATCCTGTGCCAAAACAAAAACGAACCGCACAAGTAACAAATGAAAATATCAGGGACCCCCACCCACGCCAAGTCAGTCAACTCTTACTCCCTCGGCATCCCGCCCCTCCCCCATCCCTCACATGAGAGGGCCGGCCCAGCGGGCAGTAAGGCCCCTCATCTGAGCAGACAAAATGACTATTTAAAAATAACAGTGATTGCATAAATTGAATTAAAGCGTTTTGGTCACGGTGGAGGTGGTGCGAAGGGGTGGCGTGGGGCCACAGCCGACAGCCGGGACGGTGGCAGGCAGCAGATGATGGGCTCTGGCCTGCATGCCACTGCGTTAATTGGCTGCGGCACATTAATAAAAAGTGAAAAGTGTCCTCAACCAGTGCCGCAGGATGAAGAGACAGAGTCAGAATGAGAGGTAGCATGGGAGGAAAGGGAGGGGTGCCGGGGGACGAGGCTGGGGCTGGAAGGAGAGGATTGTGCTTTTGAAGAATGTAATGCGTGTGGGGGGTGGAGGTGGGGTGCTAATTGTGTTCAATTAAGTGGCTGATTGGCACTGACAGAATCTGGGCATTGACAAGTCAGGCACAGATGAGGACGATTAGCGGGCAATGGAACAAGCTGTCACTCCTCACATCACGTTAGCCACTCTGCGTCTCCTCTATATGCGCTCCCCTGAGTTGTTTGTGTAACAAAGGAAACAAGAAACTTAAATGAGTGGAATAAGGAATAGAACTCATATTATTGTTGGACCTGTCCACATGCCCTCTTGCACATTTTCATTGAGCTAATTTCTTCCTAGGCCACTTCTGCCCACGCTAGCTTTAGAGGGGGGGAAAAAGCGCAGCTGTTCAGGCTGGAGGAAGTCCCCCTCCCTCCTAAACGTCCCACAGTATAAGCTATAAACTTGGCCCTACACTAACCAGAGGTTAATATGCCGTCTATTGGACTGCAATTGGAGAACGTGTGGGGAGCAATCCTCTATTCTCTGCTAGTGATATGGTTGAGTAACTATGGGATGGATTCAGCCACTGGGAACAAGAGAGGCCCTCTCTCAGTGAACACACACAATCATGCACAGACTTCAACTCTTCGCACCTTGCACAGACGCCTCTACTAAATTAAACGGCAGATTTTCTGATTCCAGGAGAGTGGTTTCAGCCAGGCAGGCACTGTGTGCAGAGGAGAGCGGCTCCAAGAAGAAGGCACAGCGCATAGAGGGAGTGAGGAAGAAAAAAGGGGGAGGGAAGAAAAAGAAAGGGAGGAGAAGGACGCTGTTTGCTGAAAACAGCAGGGGCCAGGTCTAGTGAAAAATGTCAGGTCAAATTGTTCTTGACAGTGTTAATATCTGCCCATCATAGCCATAATTACATGTAAATAAATAGTGAAATAGCTCTCAGCTGGAGACTGAGAGAGGAGAGCTGCTGCATAAGACAACCAGCTGAGGACCCAACAACCTCCCCTCTTCTCATCTTTTTGTCAAGGACGAGGCGAGTGCAGTGAAGCTTGCTGGCAATATCCATATTCCTGGATTTTATTTTCTTTCTTAAAAAAAAAAGGGGAGAGAAATCTGCTTTCGTGCCGGTTAAACTTTGCAAAAGGACGGGATGGAGAGGACACTTGGACAAAGTGTAGAAACCGGTGAGGGACATGCAGAAAGAGAGTGGGAAGGACGGGATGGGTGAGGGAAGAAGTCAGGGCGTATTAATCACAGCTATGCACCTGTCAGAGTGGCATCTGGAACTAACAGGAACCACATGCGGCCAGACAACATCCCAAACCTTGGGCTAGCGGGGCAGGTTTGCAGCAGACGAGCCCTCGTTCCCCAGCCATCCCATAACCTCCTGGACCCTGACCCCCAGCCCCTCAGGCCATGAGTCATGCAGTCGTTGCCACAGCAATGCCTCACCTGTCCTGCAGCCTGCTACCCTTGACTACTATTCTGATTATTCTCATTATCATTACTGCTATTATTATTGTTCTTATAGTAGTGGTATTAGTGTTTGTAGCATGGGTCACCCTCACATTGTGTCTGCATGAGGCAGAAAATCTCCACAGATGAGCCTGTGGTACTGCGTACGCTGTGTGTAATCACTGTTTTAGGCAGGATCGATGTCTGCCACTATACTTTAATAAAGGCAGTGCAACTCTCCACCTTATAGGCATTTCGGCTGCGTGGGACACAGCATGTGAATCAGTCTCAGTCATTTTCCTCCTTAAATCCCCATCTTCTAGGATTTACTGAAATTCATATTGGCTGCCTCTGCAAGATAAATGTAAATCACATTCCCTTATATTTACTATTTATCAGGATGCAGCAGCTCACTTTCAGCAGGAAATATCTCTCACCCGCACACAAACACACTTGCATTTAAATAGCATTTTTATTGTCCGCCATAGCCTTTCATCTGGGCGTAGGGAGAAGAGCTGCCTCTCCAGGGGAGAGAGCTGGAGCAGGAGAGAAAGGTGGGGAGAGGGAGCGAACGCAAAGCACTATTGGCAAGGCATCATTGGATGACAAAAAGCCAAGCAGAGGGAAGCAAGGTTGGTAGGTGAAAAATAGATTATGAATACACCAAGCAGAAATATTTTGGAATGAAAAAGAAAATGGCAGTACCAGCTGCTCGAGAGACTTAAAAGATGGAGCGAGCAACAAATGGCTCTGGTGCGTGGATGCTAGAGAGCCGCAGCACCATTAGAGGAGGAGGTCAACATTTAAAGCTGCAGCTCTGATTATGAAGTGCCACAAGAGTGTTGATTTCTATTTCTGAAAGCGTCTCAGAGCTTCCTTTTTTGAGAACCCAAATTATTAGTCATACTCTGCAACGGCGACAGCTGATTCTGGCGTGTCTGCAAGCCGTTACAGCACACCAGCACAGAAACAACCGATGCGAGAAAACCACGGCGAACGCAAAGGAGCATCCGTGGTGGAAATTTTTTCCTGAGAGTTCGAAAGTATTGCAAAACAACAGAGAACACTAATAATCTGTTCAGAAACAGTATAGCCAGTGGATATGATTTACAGTCCCTGGATTTTCTTGGCAACTGCCAACAGCAGGTCTCTCTTTTCTGAAAGCCTCTTACATCTTTTTTTATACTTGCCAAATTGAAACAGTATTTGTTTTAATGGGAGTTCTAATTAACCAGTATGTATTCCCCCACTTGCTCTGCGAGTGGTTGAGCTATGAATGCAGGCTATGTGCTCATCCCCTTTGATTTGTTGTCAGTGGAGCCTGCCAGCTGACACTGTGCCCGGTGAGAGGCTTAATGCCCAAGTTTTAATAATGTGGGGGACTACATGAATCTCCCCCTCTCATTGGTATTCAGGTGCGGGATGTCTTGTTAGAAGTCAGGGGGGGGGGGGGATTGGGGCCGGGGCTCTCTTTTTTTCCGTTTTTTTTCCCCCCCCCTTTTTTTTTTTTTTTTTTTTTGGCAACGGCAGAGCTTGCCTCTTAAAAATAATTCATCCCATTTTTAAAAGAAGCGTCTGTGCTAGCTAATGGAAGAGCAGCAGCACAGTTTGGAGTCTCCCCTGGCTTATCTCTCTCAGACAGTTGTGGGGAGTCGCTGGTGAGCATGGTGTCAGCGTGCGTGGTACGGTGCAGCGCCGCGCGGGCAGGCAGGCCTGGGGACACAGATCAAAGGGAGGCAGGGGTGAGAGCCGCTCTGCCTCTGATCCCGTGTACGTTTGTGTGTGCATGTGCGTATGTGTGTGAGTAGACCCGGCCCACTCACACAGCCCAAAGGCCCTCCTCTGATACATACACGCACATCCATGTCATTCCAAAACACATAACACTTTCACAAAACTGCAAAACAGGAAAAAAAAGTTCCTCACAAAACTTTGTGAACTTCCTTCATCGAAACAGCAATAAAATCTCCACCGCAGTAGTTACACTTGGCCTATCACGCCTATAGACTATACCTGTGAGCACGCTGGTAATGCTCAGCTCCCTCTTTTTATACTTTCCTGGTACTGAGGAGCAAAACCCAAGTTATAGCACTCAGCTCATCTGGGAGCCTGTCCTCTCCTAGCAGGTCCCTGTGATGCAATACTGCTTTCTCACCAGCCCAACACGCATAAAGATGCTTAAGAGAATCATCAGGTGTATGAAGGTCATCTTGCAGCTTCATATTTCTCTCCTTTGTTGGAGGTAAACCGTTTTCTTTTCCGATCAGTGAGTGTCACTTTACTTTAAAAAACACTCTCAGTCAAAAAAGAGTTAGGTTTTTTGTTCCTTAGCCTGCTAGACTTAAAATGTAGATATTGTGATGGTCAATTGAATGTCTGGGCAAGGTTCAACTCAAAATACTGAAATGCCCTTCCTCCATGGCCTTGGTTTTCTCTTTTTCAAACACCTGCTGTGCTGCTAAATGAAATAAGACAAGTAGCAAAGGACACTTCTGGGTTCATACCTCTCAGCCGGCCCGTCTCAACTTCACCTTCACAACCCCTTAATAAACAGCCTCCATCAACCAGCCAAAAACGTTGCATGTCCCACAATGACAGCGACCAGGTCGGAGTGCGGATGGCATTTCCACTGCCCGTAATGGGAAAATGCCTGCTGTCGGGATAGGTTATGGGATTGGGATGGACGCAAGCCCCTGTCGGGACTGCGGAACGCTGAAGGATTCCATTACGGACTTGGCACCTCACCACCGCAACTCATTTACTGCGAATCACAGAACTTTTGTCAATCTTTAAAGGGACTGCAAGGCCATCGATGCCAGACACTTGAAGAAATAGCCTGCACATACCAGTGCACAAGCATATCTTCTGCAAACAGACGCCATCTGTAACTTACAATATCATATTTTCATTTCCATCTCGATAGAGAGGCACTTTTTTTCATTACAGGAAAGGAAAAACAGGCCAAAAAACGATAAAATCAAGAGTAGAATATTAGTAATTTTCACTGTAGGAACTAGATTTACAATTTGATTGCCATGTAAATGTAAGTTAAGACAATGCAAGGTGTGAGGTTAACCTGAGTGTTTACTGTGTACGTTTTGTGTGCTGTGAGTTTTATGTGGACAACCACATGCTTGTGAAGTGAGAGGGGCTGTCCAGCACAGCAGGATGCTGCACCAGAGAGTACGCTCCGATTCTGCTGTCAGTGGGAACATCCATCGCCATGCTGAGAAACTGATAGGAATGCTGCACAGCTTTCTGTATGAATCCAAAGCATTTCACTTCTGTACAGCTTGAATAACTCTGCCAAAACACCAGCAGCTGCTGCAGAATCCACAAATTTACTTTAAAAAAAATTAGAACCCCCCCACCCCTTACACCCTTAAAAAAATTCTAACAATAATTATCAAATAAAGTGCACAATTTGCAAAGATTTGTAAAGTGCACAATTTACAAAGATTTAAATCAAAGACTGTCAACAGACTAATTGAATAGTGGAATCCAGGATGTAAAGTTGCCCAAAGGCTCCCGTCCTAATCCTCAGTATGACAGGAAATGTTTAATATCCCGACACATTCCTGAATGCCTGTGAAGAGAGGGAGCGAAAGCGACAGTGCACCCCATGCCAGTATTAGAAAGACCCATTAATGAAAAAAGAAAAAAAAAACATTCCCTGTTCCTGGTGTTTTTCTGCAGGTTTGCAGTGAGAGCATTAGCAGTTAAAACCCCTGTGCCACGATTAACAATCAAACACGCTGTGAGCCTCCATGTTATCCTCCGTCGCTCCAGCAGGAGAGAAAATCTCTTTTTTGTCACAAAATCCTTAATTCTTTCTTCTGTGAAGAAAGAGGGTAATACCAAGAATGTTTCCAATCTGCTTTGAGAAATATTTGAAGAAGAAAAAAAAACTCCCAATAAAACATATGTGAACGACGGGGTAATTGTGGACAAATGCAGCATTGAAATTCATTTTCAACTCTTTACACACCATTTCAATCTTATTTTCTGCCTGTTAACCACATCTTGTTGGTGAGGGTGGGCAAGACTGGCCAGTATTGATGGGTAATTGTGTATAATTCAGTCCGTACACACGATTTGCATCAATACAAATCATTTTTCATTCTGTGCTACTTAAAGCTCAACCCTTACCATAGAGTCGCATTTAAACGCTCATTAATGGGGGTGTCCAAAAGAGGTTAACAAATAAAATCCAGAGCTTTTTAGTGAGGGAGGCAAATAAAGCTGTACTTACAGCTCTATGCATTAAGAAAGAGAGTGTGGGAAGAGTAGGAATGTAAAAGCCTATCATCATTTCAAGAGAGCACTAGAACAGATGGAGTGACCAGCGTGCAGACAGCGTTTGTCACTCCACACGCAGAACTGCCTGGAAATCATGCAGTAAAAGACATGAACAAAATTACACATAGCACACGGAGTCTTCCGGCTGCAGACAATTACGTGAAGAAGATTATGGGTCTACATTTATAAGCTTTAGCTAATTATTTCATCTGCATGTGTTCTCACTGTGCCGTGCAGGATTTAGATGTCCCAGGAAAGTCGAAACTGCTGTTTGGAGCAGCTTGAGTACTTGCCGTGCTATCAAGATGAATTTTAATTTGTTGATGTTAATCCAATTGTTTTACAAATGTAGCAATTTGGAATAGCTGAAATAAATCCAGGGCTTTGGAAAGGCGAACATAAAAGCCCACACTGCCAGTTATTTTGCTGAACATGCTGTTTCGCAATTTTAATTTAAGTCAAATACAATTAGATATTCTGAACAGTGAGAGGAGGAGGTGGAAGAGGAGCGTGGTAGGATAGTAGACAAAAGAACATTAACACCACCTATGAGCCAATATTCAATTCAGAATGCTTTCAGGCACCAAGGCGTGAAAGCCTGCTGGACTGACCTGTGGGGACAGCCCATTGCCAACGGGGTTCATGTGGTTGCTGGAGGCTGAGGGGCTCATGAATGTATCGGAATAGCTGGAGAAACTGTGGCGGTTGGACGACAGTCCATAGGCAGAACTGCTGTCAGCACTCAGGCCTCCTTGATGCATGGAAGACGGAGGTAGGGGCTGGGGTCGGTGCAAAGTGCTGCCGCCCTCTGCAACACAGCGAGAAATAAACATAAAAAAAAATCAGGGTGAAAATTGGCGCCGGGGCACGAGAATCCTCAGGACAGTGTCCTCAAAATTAAAGCTCAGAGTCATAAGTCATGCATTAAGTGTCCTTCCTGAAAATTCTTTAGAAAGTACAAACATGTTAATTCATGAAAAGTGTAAAGTACCGACGTGACCCCTACTCATAATGTAAGACTTGTCTTTTTCTCCTCTGTGACAAAGATGTGATTGTAAAGATAACTACTAGCTGCATGGTTCTTATATGCAGCACATGATTCTTACAACTTTATTAACATGTACATGAAATATGGATGGCATACCGCAAATAAACAGGACTAATGCAATCTTTACAACAATTGGATTAAATTCAAAGCGAGGCACACTGTATGTTTTGGATGTGAGACTGCAGGAAGTCTGAGTTTTACCCTGTGATAGTGTGGTACTGGGGTAGCTTGACTCTGGCAGCTGGTATGTGGGTAAAGTTGGCATTCCTGTGGGTGGAAATCCTCCGGGAAGCAGGTGGTTGAAGGCCGCTAGCTGATTGGCACCAGCCTGCTTACGCCACCGAGCACGCCTGTTGCTGAACCACACCTGTGAGACAAGCGAAAACACGTCATTACTAAATGAGGCATGCTGCGTTTTGCTGTATCTTGTTCGTTTAAAATCTGCTGCTTGTGGGAGCTCAGACCCAGAAATTTGCCGATATGTCTTTCTGACTCTTCTTTGGGAGTCTGCAGCCCATGAGGGAGCTCAGTGGTTCGTTCGTGCTGTTCCTAAGTGGTTGAGGTTATGATCTGTGTAAACAGGCTGCTCTAAGCCCTCTTCAGAGGAAAGAAGTCATTAAAAGGTCAGAAGCAGCCTGTGCATCAAACTCCTCATGAACGCTTGTCAGGGAAGATTTGGGAGAACTCATTGCTTATCTGGAGAAGCAGAAAAACAATATATGTTGTACTACTGTCGTGTTGTTTAATGTGGCTGGTTTTAAAGCTGTAAAAGTCATTTTAAGGAGGTAGGAATGCTCCAACTTTCAAGAAGAGACTAGTTTTAGCATAAAGCTCGCTAAAATGAGCAGCACCAAAAGCGCAGACACACAATGTCAATTCTCTGAATGAAAGGGAACAAAATAGGACTCTTTAGAACGGCAAAGATTTACACATTTTAAAAAGGCTTCTGCTTCAACAAAACATGAATATAATCAGGGCCTTTTGAAAAGAGCTAGCAACCTGTTCCATTTAACTGAGACAAGGCCCGGGCTTCACTGTGTGCTTGGGGTTGAAGGACATTGATCTATGCCTCGCACAGGCAATTCATCAGAGTTTAATACACTGTCAGTGCAGTTCATCTACTGTTGTGTTTCAAACAGCCAGGGCTATTGTGAGAGCACATGAAAGAGGGGGACAAAAGCCCCTCCATACGCCACGGAGAACAGTGCACACAAAGAGGGGGCGTCCCTTTTAAACAGGTCTTAAAGAGGGACACTTTCAAGGGGACTTACACTGCGACGTCCCCTGCTTTTTGGTGGCTGCTTCTTTTTGTACACACAAACATACATATAAACTCGTATAGGCCTAAAGGGGGTCTTCATTTGAAGAGATCTTAATTTGGAGGTGGTTTTTCAACACCGTTGCCTCCTCCAGAAAGACCCGGCACTTTTTTTTTTTTTGCCTTTAGCTTAGTTTACAAGGGAGAAAACACGATGCAACAGGCGATGGCTGTGTCGGTGCTTGAAAATAGGCCAAACTTCACTTGTAAAACCAACAGGAAATCTTTAAGTGAAGCCAATTGCTCCTAAAGACCAGGTCTGAATCCCTCAATCAGCTTTTTCAAAACAAATGTGGTGTGTGGCTCCAGTGAAACTTCTGCTATTGGGATGTAGTGGAGCGTGGTCCCAGCTCTGAACTAAGCTCCAGCTGGGCCAGACAAACAGCTGCCTGGCCCGTAGGAGGGGGCACTGGTGGATGGAATGGTGGTGGGGGCACACCCCTTCCTTACACACACTCCTGATCACCCCACCCCGCGGTGCCACTTCACCTCCGACCTCATCCACTCACCCGCCCCTCTTTCATGCTCACTTTAACTTCCTTCCCCCTTTGTCATCCAAGCTTTGGAAGGAGGTGCTCCATCATGGCAGACACAAATTCTGCTAAATGTCGAAGACACTTTTGACTTTCACCTATTTTCTTATCCTAAGTTACATTTGAGCGTCTATTATTGCAACCTCAAAGTTTAAAAATTTGTTTTTTATGCTCAAGTTTTAATTAGATGGTAAAGCAAGAATTGACCTATTTTCTCTTTTTTTTTAGTGCTATAACTGAAAACATTTAAACATGTTTTTGGTACTGTTTTAATATGATTTTGTGATGAAATTATGATGTATAAATGGTCAATTAATAGCTAGATTGACACTTAATGAGTTAACAGAAATATTAGTAATTGCATCTGTGCATGTATGCATATTGTTTAGCAGAGGCCACACCTTATTTTTATTTTTACTACAGGGTAATATTGAATAAGAGATATCTATGAATTTAAGTCTACAGTATCCTCATAATCTGATAGATTATTATGCCAATGCAGATCTTTGGATCTGCATAGGCATAATGTGACAATATTTTGGTAGAATAAGCTTTCTACTGAGGAAGTGCCAGTTCTATCAAGCAGGCATGCATAAACAACGGATGCTGTTCACATATATGGGAAAATAGAAAAACACGTGGCACCGACTGTGTGGCTCACTTCAACAATCATCAGGCTCACAACAGCAACAGGACAAAATGCACTCAAGTGGCAATTCACATGTGCCCATATGCTATTGCGCGCATGCATACATTACTTGCACAGTTTTGTACAAGCACACATCCACTCACACACTGACTAACACACAGCCTGAAGCCGAGGATTTGAGGCTGTGCTCTGGAACCTGATCACAAAGTCACCTTGGACCAGAGCTTCTCCTCTACTCTCCCCAATCCGGTTTAATTCTCTGCAGAACAGAGAGCTTCTTCTGTGTCTCCCTATCTACCTACAAGTGTGCAGCCGAATTCATGTGGCTCACTTCTGTCTTGTTTGCATGAACTTAAAGGCTTCCCTGCATCTACTATGCTTGGAAACGTGTGCACCTCTGGTTCTTTGTGGGGAAAGTTTTGGGGAAGGAAGGAGCTGTAAGTCACCAAGAGTGAAGCTTAACCCAGCTGGAGAAACAGACTGGGAAGGAAGAAGAAAGGAAACGAATTAACATACGTTTAGCTGCAAACCTCAAATGTGGAAATGGATAACAAATCTGAAACATTCTTTACAGTGACATAGTTTCATTGCCTGGTTCACATTTGGCTGTATGCATCAATTCACTGCTCTAAATCTTCCATTCAGTGTCAAAGGCATTGATTCCTAGCGATAAAATGGCATTTTCTTTTTGCTGATCGTTGATAATACACACTCACACCAACACTGTAAAGGCGTGACACCGCACAGTGATGTAAAAAAAAAATCCCCTCTGTTGTTTCTCTTAAATAGGATCACTCACATTTTAGAATTGCCCATTTATCCAATCCTCCATGAATTATTTTGCCAAAGACAAGTCCTGAATATGTGACGCGTTTCAGGAGCCAATTTGCAACATTCGGTTGATGAATACAGAGTGCCGAGAGATAATGACAAAACAAAATGTGCTGCTGACTTCATACCCATAAAACACAGAGAGGTGATGCAACCAGCTTCAACATACAAATCCTCTTCTGTCTCATACCACGCAATACCCCCCTCCTCCTCGTCCTCTTCCTCCCCTGCCTAACACCTCCTCCCTTTCTATGCTTCCCCTCTTCTTTCCCCTCTGATTCCCTCCCTGCTTGCCTTCCAGTCTGGCACTATGCTAATTAAAGTAGCTAGGAGTGTGAATTTGTGAGGAGAGTGGGATTAGTTTGATAAGTATCAGGAGTACAGAAGCACTGTACCAAAGTCATTTAAATTCTAATAATAAGAAAGTGTTAGAACATTCACACTGATGCACTGCAACAATTTCTCCCCTGCAATCTACACAAATCCTATTTATTCCTTTATGAAAAGTAAACCCGCACTGGCGGGAATACAGTTGCCTGTTGGGTTTGGTTGCTACCACTCGGCTCTTTTGAAACCCGGCTGACAGAAAGACAATCAGGGAACGTGCCTATTTGAAAACCTGCTGAAAAACATCTGCCTCAGTTTGAACTCAAAAGGACTGAACCACATAGGTATAAAGGCCAGCACATAGGCTCCATATTGGCCTTTTCCCTGGGTTTGCATTCAGTCCAGCACAAGCCACAGATAGAGAAAGAAACTTTTTACGAAATTGATTTGCACGCTTCGTCAAAAGCAATGCTTATGCCTTATTAGATTCCACTAACTATAATAGCTACATGCAGAATGTTTATTGGTAATGAAAGAGGACCTATGTGAAAGATTTGGTAAAGCGAGCCGGCAGCGGCATGCTGAGCTAAAGCGCTTCAGCCAAGACTCAGGAGTCTGTCTCTTAAAAACTTCAATCTAAATAGGAGGGGAATGTAATTTGTTTCGTCTCTAAGAGCTGATTTACAGCGACCTGCTGCCTATTGCCTGCACATCTCCCCCTCCTCGTTGCTTTCTTCTACCTGGTCCACCCCTCAGAGGGAGCGGACATGAGCGATGCTCTCATGGAGTGGCTTTGCTGCCTGCTCCTGTTAAAACTGAGGGGTTATCAGATGAAAAGTGGCAGAGCATACAGCATCAGTGGAGGATATAGTGAAGGTAGACTTGGCAGCAGTCCCTCCTACTGAGACAGCCTGGAACTAATTGCTCAAAGATATGGATCACATCCCACAATTTGTCAGCTGTGGTGATAAAAACCATTGCGAGGTTCATGGTGGTAAGGAAGCGCCGGTAGCTCCACTGAAAGGGCCAGTGGGGCAGATCAAGATAGATGGAGAGAGGGTCTTAAGATGGCAGGCGAGGGGCAGACAGAAACAAATTAGCTCTGTTTATGAGTTTTGGTTGTGAATCAGCGCTAAGCCAGACACTTTCACAAGAATCTAGCCGTTTAATTTACAGTGAAGCGCTGAGTGAAAGGGCAGCTATGTTTGCCGAGGCTCCACACGCAGTTTACCTCTGCACCCAACCTAAAGCTGCTTTCCACATTATCACCATGTTTAATGACAAATGGATTGCAGCGAACCATGACAGCTCACACACATTTTAGTTAAAATATGAGTGTGTGAGACCCTGCCACAGCACCCTCTCGGCCTAAAACTGCGGTTAGTGTCTGAACGACATCTGGAAGATGCGTCATTGCAGCTGTGCTGGAGAGGCTTTGCGCTCAGGCCAAAGGGTCTCCTCTCTTCTGGCCTGTGATGGGCCATTTGGACACCAACATGGAAGCCCAGCTGGTGGACAGCTTCTCGTGTACACACCAGCAAATTTACATTTCGGCATTCTTCCACGTTGCTGTTACATTGGTTTGTAGGTGTTTGAATAAGGTGTCGCTTGTATTGATCGCCAGCATAATAAATGCGTTTACAGACTAAAGACCAAACGATGTGACTTTTACCAAAGATATCATTCTAGAGCCATGTGTTCCATGAAGCATGAAAGCTATGGCACCACTTTGGGCATTATTTATTTTGGCTACCAGAACCCTTTTCTTCGTAACCTTCTCAGAAAATTAAGTTTGAGTTGACCTTTAGAGACTTTCAAAGCCTCAAAGAATTAGATTATGAGGAAAACAGCATTAACAAATTATAGCCATGACTCAAATTCCTTAGATTTTCACATGACATCATTTAAGTCTATTATCTAACTGCAAAGAGATTGCAGTCACTCAGACGTCTTTCTTCTCTCGCCTTCATATTCAGTCAGTTCTGGCAGGCCGCGCCAAAAATGCACAGTTGTTGATACAGGCATGAATTATTCCCTTAAACGAGGTGTCAGTGTCCTTCACGATGAGTCTGAGAAGCACTAAACCAAAGCATTTGTTTTCCTGACATGTATCATAATGTTTAATGTGAGGCAAAAAATTTGGTTTGGTCACTTGCTGCGGCTATTTTTGCAATGTTATGATTGTGTCTAACTCAATCTACAAAAAGGAGAAATCAAATTTTCTTTCGAAGTGAAAATGATGAAAATGTGTTCGAGAACACTTTCAATAAAAATCCCAAATGAGGCTTTCACTTTGCCGTCTCTTGTTTCCACTTCATTCTTGAGCACTAAATCCAAAATAGAAAACAAAAACAGCTGTGGGATAAATTTCTCCGTCCCTGAGTGCGGCATTAAACACTCAGACTTGTTGGATACTCGTGTTGTGGGGTGAGAAGATGGACAAAGACATGTGTGGAATCAGTTACCCAAACTGCGTGTTTGTACTGTGATGAACAGTTAGCATGCGGTGAGGAGTTTGGGCGGTTTTAGAGTGAGTGTGAACGACTGTGGTAAGAGGAGAGGGGTGCCCCAGACTTTTTCTCTTTTTTTTCTACTTGCGGCTGATTGATTAATGTTGTTGTCGGGGCATGGGGTCCCTGGAGAGGATGAAGAACCCTGTGTGATATGTGGAGGGTTTTACAAGCAGCGGCGAGCTTGAAAGTGACAGGATGAGATTCTGGCCAAAGGCCGAAATGAGAAATCCATCAGGAATGCATTCCCTTTCTCTCCTCTCCCCTTTTTTTCTCCCCCCCTCCATCTTCGGAGGAACAGCTGTTGCTGTAACTCTACTGTACACATCTTCCTTCCATCTCACAATCTACAACAGTGGGGCACGCAGGCTGTCAGAGCGGGCTCCCTGGTCTGGGGTGTGAAGGAAAGAAGCATTTCTGTCAAAGTTTTTGAACATGAGGGATAACAGTGACGGGAAATTCCCTTACATTTCACTGTGAAATATGATAAAAAGAAAAATGTGGGCCTGGTAGATGAATACATCATTGCTGTAGATAAAAGAAGAAAAATGTTGTTTTATTGCCTGAGAATTGCTATCTCCTCTACTCACAGATGTAGACAGATGAGGTTTTCTTTCAGGCTAATGTGAATTTGACATGATCCTAAAGGGTTATTTCAACCAAATGAGGCGTACAATCATGAAGAGTTGTTTTTTTTTAAGGTTTTGATTGCTGTAGTGGCCTTTTTACGACAGTGGTGTGACAGGAAAGAGGGGCAAAAAGAGAGGAGAAAAAAGCAGGAAAGGGCATTGGGCTGCACAGAACCCAGGCCACCTGCACAGAAAGGCCGACTGCTCAGCCCAGTCAACTGAACAGCGGCCCAAGCAGCGTTTTGAAATGTTCACCTATTGGATAACTGAGATTTGAGTTTTCTGTGCCTGTAGACGTCCACAATTGAATGGATCTTAGCTTTAACAGCAGCTTTTTACCTCTTAATAGAATAGTGGCTCATTGCTGATTACTCTTTCATCGGCCTCTCAGAATATTCAGAAACAAGATAAGGCTATTTTTTTTCATTCAGGCTCGCTATGCATAAAGAAGAGGTTATCAATTTGAGTACTACTGTTTGTCTAACCTGTACTCTCGCCTCTGTGAGTTTTGTCCTCTGAGCCAGCTCCTCTCTGGTGTAAATGTCAGGGTAATGAGTCCTTTCAAAAGCCTTCTCCAGCTCCTCCAGCTGCTCAGCAGTGAAGGTGGTGCGGCTGCGCCTCTGCTTCCTCTTCAGTGGCAAGTCGGGCTCCGAATCTACGTCTGAACCGTCGTCTGTGCGGTTACCTGTGGTGAAAAGAAAGAGGGACACGGGGTCATCTGTGAGATCGTGTAAAGGGAATTGAGCTAAGAGGCCCTTTGTGTGAATGAACTGAGGGGTGTTTGCAGAAAATAACGGCATTATCTGCATTTTAAAAGGGTTCCTTTTGTCACTTGAGAGAGGAGGACTGGCCTCAGAGGGGATTCAAATGACAGCTATTTTTCTCTCAATATACAACTGGGAGAATATTATCTTAATCTGGAGATATTTATTTAATATAGAAGAGGCCCTGATATACAATCCTGACTGTGAGAGGGGCCCCAGAGGCTGTGGAGGCTGAGAGCTGAGGGGGAGTGGGGTGCTGGTGGGTAGAGGGGTTAATCTGCACGGGCCACCTTGCTGCTGCTCAGCCGATTTTTTTTCCATTGGCCCAGGGCACACTGCTCATATACAGCTCAGCCAAAGTGTATAAAATGGAGCACAATATCACACCAAAACCATTCATCCCCATGTGTTTCCACCTGCTGTCATTAAATGAATAATAGCATATTTTACATTACTTTTTAGGCATTCAACTAAGCTGAATTTTTGCTCGAGGAATATAGATACAGCACAAAGCTGTACAATCCAGGCCGACAGGGAAAATTTTGACAGCAAAAACGTATTACCATTGCACATTACCATTATAACTGAATTTAGAAAATTGCATCATTTTCACCTCCTCTGCATGTCTATTCAAACTACATGGCCCTTTTCATTTCATGTCATAAAATTCTTATTTTCATAATTTCCTTATTGAGACATTGACAAGGCGGAGTGATGTGCCAGTGTTGCTCCAGGCCTTGTTGGATTGCATCATGCACCGTCCAGAAAGTGTGGGAGAGAGAAATAAAGAGATATTGAAGAAAGGGTGCAAGAAGAGATTTCTGCTACTGACAGAGGCCCTTTAAACATTCAGATTCGCATGAAAATGCTCACCTGTGTCTCGCCTGAATCTAATCTTTTGTTTAACAGCTCTGATCAGTCTTCGGCACTCACTCTACTCAAATCTTTCGGTTTAAGTGGACAAAAGAATACTCAGACCTTGCCTCCAAATAACAACTGAGAACAAAAGAGCAACAGAGCTGGCGGAATCTCAAGGCCAGCTCCAGAGTTTAATTAAACAAGGAATTATGGGATTATATGGAGACTATCATTACAGGCCACTCTATGAGTCTTCTACGAACATTTTTTGTCCCCCTGAGCTCATGCTCAATGATTCTCTGCGGATTACATGTGGCCACAGGACATGAGGCCGCATTCATTAAATCAATTCTTCAGTCTTATCCTTTTTAATAAAGATTGATTCTTGAAGCACAAGCTCACTGTGCTGCAGAACACCCTTGAACATACAAAGTTGAATATGTACATACACCACATATCCCTTTGTTGGTTTTCATGAGGATGTGTACATCCATTTGCCCAGTAACTTGCCATGACGACACTTGAGACCAGACCAGCAGTCTGGAGATCACTTTCCAAAGTCACCTCTGCGTCCCTACAGACAGATGTCAGGGCCGGAGTTGGCACAAGCTTTAAGGGGTTGTGAGACAGACATCAAACTCTCCTCCTCCTTAAATGATTTTTCTTGTCCTGTCCTTTGTTTAAAGTACAAGAACTGAATTGCTTTTGTGAGTGAACCTCTGTGGCAATTCGTGTCACATTTAGCATGCTTCCAGGTTAATGACTAATAAATCTCGAGAGACGATGACTGGCACTTCAACTTGTCATTAAGTCCACAGATGCAACACATCTGCTCTTCTACATGAACCAGAGGCACAAGGTCAACAGGCTTGCATGTAGCAAGTTGTGGAAATACAGCACATGCTGTATGGAGCTGAACGAAATTAAATCTCTTCTATATGCCACTGGACAGAGGATGTTCTGAAACGCGTGGCTTCCCACCTTGTTGCCGCAAGACAGAATCTGTGACTGAGTTTTAATACGCAAGCGCAAACAGAAAAGAGAATACGGAGGGGGGAAAAAAAGGCGAAAATAACAAAAGGTAAATTGAGATCCCTGCAGCACTATTGAGGTCAATTCTTTAATGGCCTGCAAGGCGAAAAGGTAGACTCTGATTAGACATTTGTATTATACAACTGCTGTAAGATCTTTTCACAGGTCCAGGGGATATTGATAAACCACTCAGGCCTTGTCTCATTACTTAATGTCCAATTAGAATCTCATTATGTGCCATCCAGTGGGCATGATTAGTGCTGTGTGCTCTCCTCCAGGGGCTCGCAAAGGTTTTACTTCAATATTGATTTGAAATTGTACCCATCATGAATAGGAATTAAGGAGGTTTACACTCTGCTTTGTTAAGGTAAATGCTTGATTAAGATAGAAAAAAACACTGGAGGCAGTAAAGGTAAATGCCCCCAAAACCCCTAATTTTAACACCTTAAATGGCTAAAAGACACAATTTCAATACAAAAGAGTTTAAAGGTGGAGCTGACTGATAATAGAGCTTTTTATACAATTAATTACCCATGAGACTGGTCACGATATGAAAGGTAAATGCCAAACCCTGGACAGGCAGGCTGGAGTTCTAAAAGATATTGGACATAAAGTGTTCACTGAATATATTTAAGCATCCCTTAAGTACCAACAGGGAGTACTGCAATGCGTGTCCTGTCAGGTATAAATCTAAAACTTCAAAGTGTAAAATAGAGTTCTCCCAAAGAAATTAGTAAAGAAGTCCACAAATTAGCTGGCACCTTTAATCTTTGCAAAAGCGAGACAGGAGCTGAGGTGGATGCACTCACAGTCCATTGAGTATTTTAGAAAATGTTTTAATGGAAAAAAAGAAAAATGTCCTGAAAATTGGAGGACAGCTGTTGTGTTGGGCTGTATATCTTATTTTGAAATAGCTACATAATCCAAACATCCCCTAATGTTTGTGACAGACTTTGCGTGAAAAAGAAAACCCAGTTTACAGTCATTATTATTTGAACTACGCTATAATGGGTTATGATTCACAACTATCCTTTTCAACTCACAACTATCGGACCATGCTTAATTAATGTAAGGAAATTTCATACCACACATGAACTCTGCCGATGGGAAGGACCACATTAGCTCTTCTCACCCCGTTTTGACTTTGTTTTAATGATCCTTTAATTCTGACCAGACCGTTTAGATCAAATACAGCTTTTGTTCTTGAAGGACTTGAGCTGATAGTTAATAGTTTTAAGGTTACTGTGAGGTTTAAAGAGCGCTCTCTCTCCTGTGATGCTCCTCCACTGACCTTGCAGACACACCACAGGCAGATGGGATCCTCATCACCCTGTTTTCTCTAAGACGGCCCTAATGTTGACCCCTTCCCTGCTACAAGCCCTCAGCGTTCCCTCGTCTCCCTCCAAATGCTCGGACTCCCCCAGTCATCCACCTTTACCCCTGCGATGATGAGGTAATGCTGATTAAATGGACAGCTGTCCACTCAATGCGGCAATTAACCAAATGATCTGTAAGGTTATGGGTTTATGAAACGTAACAACACCAATAAACTTCACATTGACCAGGCTGTTGAAATGTGTTGGCTAAATTTGTGCATCTGATACTCCATGTGTTACCATTTACCCCCTTTAGTGTTCTTCATAAACCTTTACCATTTTAGACCAAATGTCTTCAACCCGTTGAAAAAATCATTATCGTAAGAAAGATAAGCTAAAAAATGTGTAAAGATAACGATGTCAGATAAAAAAGTAGAAGATATAAATAAACAAATAAAGCTTCACAATGTAAAACAATGATGTAAAAAAATGTGTTAGAAAATTAAATAAAAATGTTGCTCTTAGCAAAGAGAGATAAAATGGTGCTTTTACAGGCTCTAAAGAGGCTTTAAACCCACTCACAAGCCTAAAGTAAAGTAGCACTCATCCATGTCTTTCTCTGATATACCATAACCTATATCCTAAACATGTGCCATACCTTTGCAAACTGTCCAAGACAGGGGGACAAAAACAGACAGGGCTTTGGCAGTGCAGCATTAGCTCATAATGGCTCATTTTGAAAAGCATATTAGTTCCAGCATAATTACAATCAGGCCTCACGCTCTGTGTTTTGCAGGCATTCACAGGACCAGCCTCTGAGCACCGAGTCACACCAGTTGACTGTGACTGACAGCAGATTTAGTTAAAAATGCTGTTTTTTCCTCCCTCTTTTTTTCCCACAGGACAAAAATAACATCACATCTTTTCTCCCTATTTATGTTGACTTGTTTATTTTGTGCCTACCTTTTGTCGTATTTGATACTGCAATTATACTTTTTGTCAGTCAGAGGGGGTGAATATCAAAAGGCCTAATTATGCAAACAGGCCTGTGATAAGAGGCATCTGCCTCAGATGGGATCTGCTATCTCTGACATGCATCTGTCTCTGTGCTGTCTTCTCTGCTCCAGGCCTGCATATAAACAACCCTTCTTGTCCTCAGGACTGCATGGGATTCAAGCACCAACACTTGAGTGGAGGGATGTTTCGGGGGTGGGGGGATCGTGCAGCAACATCAAATAACTAACAACTTCCCAATTTGCATTTTTCTGAGAATGGTGCGGCATTTGTGTTTAATGCACTTGCCTGTTCATCCTAGAGGGGCTGCCAAGTTAAAGTAGGCATGGGATTCAAGGCATTTTCCAAAGGATGTATGAGATAGGACCCTTATATGAATACAAAACAGAAGACAGTGATAATCGGAGTGGTTTAAACACAGATTGTGTCTCAATAATATTTTCCTGCGGATATCTCCATGCATTGAAAAACAAAGTCAAAACTGTAAAAGTGAGCAAAGCATCAGCTCACATCGAATTTAATTATAAATATTAGATTATAATATTCAGATCAACATACTAACTGAATGCATGGCAAAATCAAGTTAAGTGTTTACTTGCTCTGGTAACAAGCCAAGATGCATCATCAATTTCCTCCGCTTGTAAGTGACCTTCTCTGGGTCATAATTTTGACATTTAGCTGAAATTGAATCTGGATGAGATGTGTAACTGTACACAAGGACATTAAAAATCTGCGGGCTATCTAAAATAAAATCATTCTCGGCTCACCTTTATGGACAGATGTCAGAGGTTTCAGTTTTATCTCACGCCTATCACGTCAATTACT